CCCCTGTGTATATGAATGGTGCACAGCCCCTATTACTGGGATGTGTCGGATGTCCCCTGTGTATATGAATGGTGCACAGCCCCTATTACTGGGATGTGTCGGATGTCCCCTGTGTATATGAATGGTGCACAGCCCCTATTACTGGGATGTGTCGGATGTCCCCTGTGTGTTCTATGCCCATTGGGGCATAGAACAGTCATGTAGTGGCACCTGGGGGATCGGGATGACGGTGCTATTGGGGCATAGAGCAGTCATGTAGTGGCACCTGGGGGATCGGGATGAGGGTGCCATTGGGGCATAGAGCAGTCATGTAGTGGCACCTGGGGGATCGGGATGAGGGTGCCATTGGGGCATAGAGCAGTCATGTAGTGGCACCTGGGGGATCGGGATGAGGGTGCCATTGGGGCATAGAGCAGTCATGTAGTGGCACCTGGGGGATCGGGATGAGGGTGCCATTGGGGCATAGAGCAGTCATGTAGTGGCACCTGGGGGATCGGGATGACGGGGCCATTGGGGCATTGAGCAGTCATATAGTGGTACCAGGAGGAAGGTGAGCATTGGTTTTATGTAGGTCGGTGAATCGGATCTCCCGGGGTATACTGAAGGCTTAATCTGGGAATCTTTACACAGGGATAAGTGTCTTTATCTTCAGTCATGTGACTGTCATTTACACATCTCATTGGCTGAAAATAAGAATCTTTATCCTGAGCCCTCAGTGTTGTGTGTAGTTGTCATTGGGCTCTGTATTCTCCTCTCTTTACAACATAATAGGCGGTTTGGCAGCCGCAGTTGTCGGTGGAGAAACGGTTTGCTGACTCTTTGTTTTATAGACTTAGTATGACTGCAATAGTACATTGGTTGGTGCCCGGTGTTGTGTCCTCAAAGGACAACATGCACCCTGCCCAGCCTGTATATGTGGGGGTGGTTGGGGAGAGACTATTGCCTGGGTTGCAATAGTGTTTGATAAACACACACACTTGGATACAGTTGTGTATGAGTGTGCCAGTCTGACTGAGGGAGACAGGGTATGTTGTAACACCAGGCTGATACAGGAAAGGGCAATGACACCAGGACAAATGGGGGAATGGTGATTTTATTGTGCCAAGGACAGAGAGTGTAAAACGAGACCTGTAATTGGGATGTGTGCTACAGGCCACGATGACTTTTCCTGCAGCAGGAACCTGGTTTGATTTGCCCAGCTTTATGAATTGTGTAATCTGAGGAACAATGACGGAACACATGGAGGGATTTCATTGTGCAGCCAGATGTGTTAATGAGGGATGCACCAATATATCGGCGCCGAAACATATCGGACGAAAATGGCACTTTTGGCATACTGCCGAAAGTGCCATTTTCCTGCCGATACATGGGTGCATCCATCCTATTCTCTCCTCCCCACTGGGCGCTGCTCTGTGTCCCAGCGGGGAGGAGAGAAAGTGCGACGGCAGAGTGCTGTGAGCGCCCGGCGTCTCTCCTCCCACACCGCTCAGCCTCCTATCATAGTCCGGCAGAGCGGTGTGGGGGCGGAGACAGCCAGCGCTGTCACAGAAGGCTGACCTCTCCTCCCTGCTCCGCTTGCTCAGCCTCCTGTGACAGCGTGTCAGAGAGGAGAGCCAATGCAAACACTCGGCGATCAGTGATCGCTGAGTGTTTGTACATAATTGAGGACATGGTATGGTTACTGTATCTTCAATTAGGAATGAATGGGAAGTGATAGTATCGCCTACGAATGTGCAATCATGTGATATGATCACCTACAGCGACTTAGGGGTCTATTCACGAAGCTGCCGAAGGATCTGGCCGTAGCTTCGGCCGATCCTTCGGCCCTAGGACCCCTTCAGTTCAGTAGAACCGAAATTGTTCGGCATCTCGTAGAATAGCCCGAACAGCAGTGAGAAGCCTGCCGGAGGTTTGGCTCAGCCGATCCAGATGTTGGATCGGCTGAGTCGAACTCCTTCTGCACTTCGGGTCTGCCGAACATGCTGAGTATGTTCGGTCGACCCGAAGCCACACGAAGCAAGCCGATGTACGGCTGAAATCAGCCGTACCAGCCTGAAGTGAATAGCCGAACAGTGTTCGGTTCACTTCAGATCAGTCATTCACTCGGCTGCCCTTGGCAGCTTTGTGAATAGACCCCTTATTCTGTTACAATACTCCGGGCATTGGCTTCCACATTTCTCCACAACAGTTTTTTGTTCTGTTTTTACCCCCTTTTCTAATTTACTTGGTGACATCAGTAATTACCATCATGTTATTTGGGACTAATTTCTGTCATGCGTGAAGTATATTTTAGACAGTATTTTGGGTGTATAATATATAGAACTTTAGCAGGACAGATGCATTCATGTTAAGGTTAATCATTTTGTATTTCTATTCAATAAATGTGTATCTCTTTATTAAGCATTTTTTTTGATTGATTCCCAGGCTGTATATCCTTACTGGGGTTTAGTTCTTCCTTTTTCTAGCCTTAGTGTACCCCATCTATTTCAGTGTGGCACATGAAGTCTTTGTTGATGATTGATTTGTGTTCCATGTGGCTTCATCTAATGGAGTTTCTCTAGCTTAGGTTCATCAAGTAAATATAAATAAGGGTTCTGTGGTTCCTTATAAAGGAGGTATAAGGATGGAGATGGAATCTGTAGCAAGGTCTACATGGTTTTGATATAATTATTTTTTTTTAAATGTAGGTTCAGAACTGCCCTACGAGCATTTCATGGGAAGGAATGGACAGCAACAAACTGTACACTCTTGTGATGACTGACCCAGATGCTCCCAGCAGGAAAAATCCCAAATTCAGGTTAGACACTATGAAAGCACGGAACACTCAAGTACTGTCTGAAATGATTCACTTCTGGCTATGGTTTCATGTGTATCTTCTGGTTTTAGGGAATGGCACCACTATCTTGTTGTGAACATGAAAGGGAATGACCTCAGCAGTGGTTGTGTCCTGTCTGATTATGTTGGCTCAGGCCCACCGAAAGGAACTGGTGAGTGGCATTGAAGGAAAAGTAATGGCATTGACATTAGACATTGTGGCTGTGTACTAAGGATTACACTGATAATTGAGCCCGGAAATACACACAATAGTCACGGTGTCCAAGCTTGATCACCTGTGACCACCTACCTTGCCATGAAGTGTGAGTAAAGTGTCTGATACACAATAGTAGCTGTACAAAATTGTAAAATAGTACATGTGGGAGCTTTCTGCAGTCTTCGTGCATGGGACTAAAGTATATCTAAGGACAAAACCTATCTTTCATTGATAGAGTAGGAAAGTATTTAGACCCGTTATTTTTTTTCTTGCCATCTGGGGTTCCATTAGGGAGGCTTTCCTTCACTTCCTGTCTTGAGATACAACTGACAGGAAATCTCTCCATGGCGAGTGAAATCCTGTTTTTGAAAGTTGTCACTGGGACAAGTGTCCCCATTGGAAGATTTCCCCTCGGGGAGTGAACCTCTCTAGCAGGGGCACAGACAAAAAAATGTTAGTTCGCTGAAAATAGATATTTTAACTATAAGTGGGCCAATTCAGTCCCAGGCTCCTTATGCTTTCGATAATCCAGCAGTTAGTGCCCCCCGTGGCATGTGTGTAGGCCCAAGAATTCAATTGCAGATATCATTAATACTGGCTGAGAGATGTAACGCATGTTCTTGTAATTGGATTAAGGTCGGAGCCTCTACAAGGATGGTATGTGTATGAGGGAGATTTCTTCTCACTTCCTGTCCTGATGATAGGTGTTAGAACACAAAGCATGTAAGGATCATTTCCTTACTAGAAAGGAGCAGCTTTTAAATATTTATGGGGCTTCCACACCATGTCAGAAACCTAAAGAAGCTTGGCCAGAATTGGGCCTGAAGTACAAGTGCAGAGGATTGTTTGTACTCCATACTATCATGTTGTTTGCACTGAGGAATACGCTTCAATACATTTTAGGAGACTCCTCCAACTTTTCATGTTCTTTTTAGATATTTGCACAACTTTGTTTTTCTTTGTAGGCCTCCATCGTTATGTCTGGTTGGTGTACGAGCAGAAAGAACCACTGAAATGCGATGAGCGAGTTCTGACCAACCGCTGCGGAGAGCACAGAGGATGTTTTAAGTTGTCTTCATTCCGCAAGAAATATGGCCTTGGAGCCCCTGTTGCTGGGAATTGCTACCAGGCTGAGTGGGACGATTATGTCCCCAAGCTGTATGAGCAACTTGGCTCTTAAAGCAACCTGCAGATTATTATCCTTTTGCACTTAATTGTTCAGACCACAAGTCATTTCCAATTTTTAAGCCAATCATTTCTCACATCCTGACCAGTGTTTCCTGTGGTGAAGGAAAACAACTTGTACAAATGTTTCCACTTAGCACTTAATTGAAAGAGCTTTAAAGTGTTTAGTAGCCTGAGAATGAAGAATCCCTAGACACTTAGAGCTAAGGCACCTTTTGTAGTCCTGGTAAAGGTCAGTCTCCAATCCAGGAACATCCTTCGCTTTATTAACAGGAAGTAGGAATTCCCGAATGAAGAGGCCCATAGATGCATTTCAGCAGATTAGTTGCACTCCTTTTTGTTTTGCATGAAATGAAAGTAAAACGCCAAATGAACAAAGTCTTTGCGTCTTCTTTGCTGCAAATATGTGAAAGGATTGTTCTGGCTATAACATTTCTGTATGTGTGCGAAGATCCCATAATCTAGAGATCTACAATGGTTGGAGAAGATATGGGGGTTCTGCTGCTAACCTCGCTGTCGCCTTCTCTGGCATGAACACTTTGTAACTGTACTTCTCTTGCTGCATTCTTGTTCCAGGTCAAACTCCCTATCTGAATATTTCCTGTACTTGCTTTGGGTCAGTGACTCAGTATGAAAGCCCAACTACAACTTTATTTTTAATTATCTTAAAGTAGCATTCAACTTTATTTGTCAATAATGAATCCAGATCAAACGGATCTACATTGCCCAGGAAAGCATTGCTTTACATGTTTGCCCAAACACAATGATCATGTTTCTGAACAGCTGGCTCCAACTCTCTCCACTCAGCTTCCCTCAACTTGTCCAGTACAAGCTCACAAAGGACAGAGCAGTCTCCAGCAACTGTTTGTCTACTAGCTTGTCGTAGGGAGGAGTGGGGGGGCCAGGGGGAACGACTAGTTTTATTTGCTGTGTTTGTGGAGATGTACACAGCTTACTAGCACACACAAGTGTGACTGCATAGCACTCTGTTTGAGAAAGGAGTCACTCTCTAAAACAGGAAGTTCTGACCAGTGCTCGGGACCAGCTCATTCTGCAGGAAACTAAAACAAAGATCAAGAAACAGCATTCATTGCAAGTGATTTTATCAGCATTTGAAATAGCTTAAAATCCTTTTGCCTTTAATATCACTAAATTCTTATTCCCTCTTTTTTTTGGAAAGCTTAACTTTTAAGAGCAAAATATACCTTAATTAGGTTGCTGTGTCAGTCTTCATGCCCTTAGCAGCCGCCGCCGCCACCACCTCACTTCCTGGTTGAATGACGACCAGTGTAATTCAGCCCGGAAGTTTGAGCACAGGCTGTCATAAACACGTGGTAGATGAGGTCATGACCCTACTTGTGCTTACTGAATTAGAAAGTAGTTGTAAAAAGGCACTTGTATGTCAAGACTTTCAGGAGTGCGAGCACCACTGAAGCCTGCTTAATGTTTGGGTGACAGAGGAAAAGAGGGCAGTTGTCACATGATCGCAACTTTTAAGGTTAGCAGACTGTTGAAAATGACGTGTGGGGGGGAAGATGGGATTTTAGAGTAGCTGGAATTGTTGCTTTTTAAGGTCACTGAAACAGCATGACAGCTTGCATTTTTAGAAAGAATGTTTAGCAGTTGCTGACCACCTATTTCTACTTTAGTAACCCATCTCGCTTGTTTCTTTGGAATGGAATTCACTGTGCCAACACTGCCCATTCCTGAAACACCTCAAACCACGAAACAATACACATGAACTTACATTGCCAACACAGTGAACCACAATGCATGTACATTGTGGTGTGCTGCAGAGCGGGTGCTGTATACATGCTGGATTTCATGTACACAGGGCCAAGCTTGACATTTAACCCCTTGCCTACTGACTGGATTATGCGGCCACAATCGTTCAGTTGATTAATGACCAGTGACGGGATAACCCTGTCATGTGGTACAATGAGCGCTGGTCCGTGGAGGGACCATAGCTCATTGAGTTACTGCTCCTGTTGCTGGGTTCCTCGGTGCCCGAGGCACACCAACAGCAGATCAGGTGGTCGCAGTCCTGTGATCACAGTAAGAGCTGATCGTTGTGATCACAGAGGCGGCAGCAGCTCACTGGGTTGTGCAACTGCGAGCCGGCTGCGTGTTCCAAACTGATACAAAGAATCCATGAGGAGAATACTATATTCTCTGAGATACTAAGTTGTAAAGCCCCTGCAACTTAAAAAGAACCCCTTAGTGGCCCCTAGTTAAAAAAAAAATACAATTTAAAATTAAAATAAAGTTTTTAAAAAAAGGAAAAAAGTTTTACAGAAAATCTAGTGCTGAGGAGACTATTAAAGGAGAACTATGGGGTCAGTGGTTTTCCCCATAGTTCTCCTTAGGGTAACGGGAGGACACAAACTAGCGTACTCCCGTCACCCTAGGCTCAGTATACCGCGAGCTACAGCTTGCGGTATACTGAGACGCCGGAGCGGATCCCGACGTAGATGACAGGATCCGCCCAGCTGCGTGAGTGACAGCTGGCTCTGCCTATCTAGAGGCAGAGCCAGCTGTACCCGCCCCCTCCCCCGTCTGTTCCGCCAGTCAGCGCTGGCAGATCGGAGAGGGGAATGCAGCCCCTCCCACGGCAGAGAGCCGTGACAGGATCGAGAGGTGAGCGAACCCGGTATGTGTTCGCTCACCTCCCGATCTACTGAGCCGACCTGTGACAGTCTCATTGTCACAGGTCGGCTAGAACTATGAGGTGAGTGAAAAGCACTCACCTCATAGTTCTCCTTTAAAGATAGGAGACAAACCTACCACAGTCTAAAACTATTTCACGCCTTGTATTTTGTGACCTTTAACTTTTAAAATAAACTAAAATCCCAGACATATGATATGCCCTATAAATCAGGACAAATCAAATCATTTATGAATGACTTTCTGTTAGCTGCACAAATGATGTACACATTATTACTGCCAAATAAATGTTTTATTCATTTCCCATAACGTCTTCCAGGACAGCATCACGAGATGGAATCTCCTCCCCCACACACAGTAAACACGTCACTTAATCTGCTTAAAAGACCCTCCTCTCCTCCACTCCCTCAGTCTTTTGTGTTTCCTCAGTCAAGCTGGGGAGCGCGTCACAGAACGCTGAGAGGGGCTTCCATGTGGTGATGCTGCCCGGGAAGTCTTCTTTTGTTTATGGCCTGCCTGTGTAGGGCAGAGGGTGTAGGTTTGCCTACCTTATGTGAGCCCCAGGGATTCTCCTAGCGCTGCAGGAGATGAGGCTAGCTTCCTTTCCCCCTTCAGTGCCCAGTACGGGCCGGGACCGGGAGGACGGAACCCCCTTGGCTGGTCAGGGGAATCGGTGGACCACCGTTCAGAGGGGTCTGTCCGGTTCTCAGGGCCTCGGGACGTGTTCCACGGCCAGACCGGGTGGCCGCGTACGTCACTGGCCGCTGCAGCTTCTAGCCAAGGAAATATTTTCCTGGGCGGAAGTGAATCTAAAGTCCCTGTTTGCGGTACACCTGACGGGTACCCACAACATCCTGGCAGACTATTTGAGTCGGCATCGGATACTGCAGGACGAATGGGTCCTGAACCAGGAAGTATTTTCACTGATTTCAGAGAAATGGGGTTTGCCGGTGGTAGATCTTTTTGCAACTCAGGAGAATGCAAAACTAAGGCAGTTTTTTTCCCTCCAGCAGGGAGATTCCCCTCTGGCTGTGGATGCCCTGTCAATTCCATGGGACTTCCCCCTATGCTACTTCCATCTCGTGATGCTGTCCTGGAAGACTAATGGAAATAGAGTTACTGGTAAGTCCTAACTCTGATTTTTTTTTATTTAAAAAAAAAAAAGAATTTCTATATGCATATGTCACATCAAATTAAAGCCCATTTTGTCCTTTAAAAACACGGTATATAACAGGGGTGCCCACAAGGTTGATCGCGATCTACCAGTCGATCGCAAAGCTATAGCTGGTCGACTCCTTGTCCCGCGATCTGTTTACTCGAATATGTCGGACGCTACAGCATCCGACACATTCGGCTCTCCCCTCCTGTCTGTAGCGGTCAATAATACCTGCCGCACATAGCGTAGACGCGCCGCCTCTTCCATGAGACACTTGACCCGCCCCTCGGCCCGCCCTTTTCACTGTCCATTGCATCCAGCACTAGACACCAGCAGCTCCTCCCTCTCTTCAGCACATTTGACCGGCCCCTCTCCGCCTGCAGCTTTAGACACTGCCCCCCTAGTCTGCACGTTGGAACTACACCTGAAGAGCCAGAAGCAGGTAGGCTATTGGCTTGAGTTAAGGGGCTGCGCAGTTTGGATTTCTAATGCCTTGTTCACACCATCCTCAGTGCGTTCTGGTCCTATTGTGTCGAACGCATTGCGGCTAGCTCAGTTTGCTGTGGGGCAGGAGGAGGTGCGGTGGTGTGTAGAAGTGAATGGCACCGTAGCCACACCCTCTGGCCGCAATGCGATCGGCCGTACGGGAATGCAAGGCACATCAATGCCTGCGGTCCGGTCAGAAAAAAGTGCTTGCAGCATTTTTTCAGACTGGACCGGACCGCAGGCATTGATGTGCCTTGCATTCCCGTACGGCCGATCGCATTGCGGCTAGAGGGCGTGGCTGCGGTGCCATTCACTTCAACCCACCGCCGCGCCCCCTCGCACCCCACAACAAAGGCCTTAGAGCTGGTTCACACCACAAACGGTGCGCTCAGGCTCTGGAACGCACTATCGCACTCTGGCCGGTTCCCTGTGTTCAGGGGCGATTACCCGCACCCGAACGCGTGGCACATTAGTGCCTGTGTTCCGGTCCAGTGCAATCTGCAAAAATGCTGCAAGCATTAATTTTGCAGATTGCCCCGGATCGCAGGCAATAGTGTGCCACGCGTTCAGGTGAGGGCGATTGCAATACGGGCGAGGGGCATGGCTATGGTGACATTGACTTAAATGCACCGCCACGCCCCCTCCCGCAGATAATGCCTGAATCAAAGAATGCAATGTTTTAGGACCGTGTTCAGGGTTTGTTCACACGAGGTACAGTACAGTATGTTCCAGCACGTTTGGGTGGAATGCACTGTATCGCATGGTAACCCCCCCCGCGTTCTCGGCTGGGAGGGGCCGTGGCAGTGAATTGAAGTCACCAGAACGCGGAAGCCACAATGCCTACATTTCGGCCCAGTGCGAGCAGAAAAAAATAATGCATGCATTTTTTTCCGATCGCACTGGACCAGAACGCAGGGATTTTTGTGCCGCGTTCTGGTGCAAGCTAATGCACTGCGGCTGGGAAGGGGAGCATGGCTGGTGTGCCATTGACTTCAGAATGCAGGAGGGAGTTTACTATGCG